CATTTGGTTCAACAGAAGTATTTCAGTAACTATTATGTAATAGAAATTCTATTTCTTTCAGGGAATTCAAAGGTGAATAAAAAAGAACTATAAATTTTTATCAATAAAGTATTTCAAAAACCTCAATGAGAGTAATGGCATTAACTAGCAAACACACTAATGAGATGAGCTAGCCATAAGAGGCTTACAGTTGAGAGAAAGATCTGGAGTCCTCTTGACAGGCCAAGTTCAGGGCTGTTTGTGGGACTCTCTGACCTAACTGCAGGTGGAAATATAAATATGGGCATTTAGAATATTGGCACAAACTTTGGATGATTTCTGTCTTGGGGTCTCTCCAATTAATGGGATTGAGGAGAACTGTAGACCACTGAGGTCACCATGGCTTATGTATAGCCCCGGCTTTGGAGTCAAATCGACCTGAATACAAACCCCAGCTTTGCTACTTACAGGTTGCATTTATCCTCAGTTTATCTCATTTTTCAAAGAAGAAGAATAGTAACTTCTTTAAAAGGTTATTGTAGGCTGGGTGCAGTGGCTCATGCCTGTAATCTCAGTACTTTGGGAGGCGGAGGGTAGTGGATCACTTGAGGCCAGGAGTTTGAGACTAGCCTGGCCAACATGGTGAAACCTTGTCTCTACAAAAATAAATAAAAAATTTTTGCTGGGTATGGTGGCACACACCTGGATTCCAGCTACTTGGGAGGCTGAGATATGAGCATCGCTTGAGTCTGGAAAGTGGAGGGTTGCAGTGAGCCAAAATCACACAACTGCACTCAAGCCTGGGTGACACAGTGAGACTTTGTCTAAAACAAAAAGGTTATTGTGTTACTGTGAATATTGCATATGAACTTATATTTAACATGTTCAGTTAAATGCTTGTTTAATTTTCCAATGTGTTCTTCTAGCTCACAGCACAGACAAAACCGATTCACTGAAATCATGGAATTGCAGTAAAAAACGAATCTAATTAATGTAAGTCAAGTGGGAAGACTGGAGTTATTATTCAAATCAGTCTCCCTGAAAACTCAGAGGCTAGAGTTTTATGAATAATTTGGTGGGAAGGGGACTAGGGAGTGGGTGCTGCTGATTGGTTGGGAAACAAAATAGTAAGATTGTGGAAAACTGTCCTCCTTCATTGAGTTTGCTTCTGGGTGCAGGCCACACGACCAGTTGAGTCATGAAGCATGTGTCCAAGTGGAGTCAGTTTGTTGTCAGAATGCAAAAGCCTGAAAAACATCTCAAAAGATCAACTGTAGGCTCTACAAGAGTGATGTTATCTATAGGAGCAATTGGGGAAGTCACAAATCTTGTGACCTCTGGCCACATGACTCCTGAACTAGTAAGGGATTATAAAAACCATGCCTATACATTATCAGAATTCAGGTCCCTCCCACAATCCTAATCTCATAGCATTTTATTTGTTCAGAAAGGCCATTTTCAGTCCCTGAGCAAGGAGGGGGTTAGTTTTAGGGTAGGACTATTATCCTTGCTTTAGTTAAACTATAAACTAAATTCCTGCCTCTAAACTAAAGAGCCATCCTTGACTCTTTTCCTCCTCTCACACTCAACATCTATCCATCAGAAAATTTTGTTAGTTCTACTTTGAAAATGCATCCAATGTCAGAGCATATCTCATTACCTCCATAGCTACCACACTAGTTTGAACTATAAACTAAAGTCCTTGGCCTATGCCCAGGAACGAGTGAGGACAGGCAGCCTGTGAGGCTAGAGGCGAGATGGAGTTAGCCATGCTAGATTTATCTCACTGTCATAACCTTTGCAAAGGCAGTTTCACCTGGGATATAGGAGGTACTCAATGAAAAAGAAGCTATTAATATTAATATTTTTAAAATGAATTTAAGGAACTAATATTACGTACACATTAGTCATTAAAACAAAGTAGTTCATTTACATTCACACAAATAAATCTTGTGATTATACATAGGTAATATGAAAGACTTTGTTTTGTTTCATAATACAAGGTATTACCAATAGATATAGTAATGTTAGCATTCCTTTGGAAAAACTGAAAGGATTTATAATTTTCCAAGAATCATTAGTATTTTTATTTAATATACATAATATAACATTTGATTATTCATTCTATAACTTGGAAATATGCTTGCTTACCAATTACTGACAGATTTCAAAATATTTCTACACTCACAATATTCATTTACATAAATATTGATCTGGTACTTACAATGTCTACTGCTATGCTAAGTGTTGCCTTTGTCAAACATATTTTATAAAATCATAATCCTAGATGAATCCAACTTTTGGTCGCCCACGTGCCTGAACCCCTGCTGTTAACAGGCAAAGTGTGGTAGGTACAGATCTATACCTACCACCTTCCTCTACCCACCAGCATCTGCAACCACCTCCCCTCCCCACCCACCATTATCTACACCAACCACCCCTCCCAACCTACCAGCATCTGCACCCACCACACCACCCACCCACTACCATGTACGCTCACTATACCTTCCAGTCATCACCATCTGCACCCATCACTCCACCCTATCCACAAGCAACTGCACCCACCACATTTCCCCACCTACCAGCATCTTCACTCACCACCTCTCCACCCACGAGCATCTGCACCCACAATCCCTACCCACCCACCAGTGTCTGCACCCATCACATTTGCCCACTTGCTAGCATCTGCAGCATCAAGCTCTGCCTTCTTGCCTAATATGGGATGAGCTCTCCATGGTTCTGCCTAAAGACAATGCTTCCACTCCTCTTTTATAACCCATTTCCTTTTACCTCTTCAAGTACACTTCAGAGCTTCTCTCTCCTTCTGATATCAACTTTTTCCACTTTGCTCAATCATTCTCATCACCATACAAACATGTTTATTTCTTCCATCTTAAAGTTAAAAATCAAAAGAAAATTATCTGCGGCCAGGCACAGTGGCTCAGGCCTGTAATCCCAGCACTTTGGGAGGCCAAGGAGGGTTGGATGACTTGAGGTTAGGAGTTTGAGACCAGCCTGGCCAACATGGTGAAACCCCATCTCTACTAAAAATACAAAAATTAGCCGGGCATGGTGGTGCATGCCTGTAGTCTCGGCTACTTGGGAGGCTGAGGCCAGACAATGGCTTGAACCCGGGAGGCGGAGGTTGCAGTGAGTCGAGATTGTGCCATTGCACTCCAGCCTGGGTGATAGAGCAAGACTCCATCTCAAAAATAAAAAATAAAAATAAAACAAAAGAAAATTATCTTTACCCAACATCCACATTACCCAAATACCCATTTCTTTGTTGATCTTTGTTAAAAAAAAAAAAAAAAAAAGGCTCTTGGAAAAAGTTGTCTATATTCACTATGACTTATCCCCTCCAAATTACCTAAACACACACCAATCAGGCTTTTGTTTCTATCATTCCAAGGTAACTTTTATAGCCACGGACAGTAGTGAACTTTACACCACATATGCATTATGAAATTTGTGATCCTCATTGTACTTAACCTGTCAGCAGTATCTGACACAGGTGTCACTGGCTCCTCCCTGAGATGCTCTCTTTATTTGGCTTTTGGGACACCATATTCTCCTCATTCCTACTTTCCTCAATGGCCCTCCTCCGTCTCTTTTGGAAAGAGGAAAAAGAAACTTCATTATCTCCTGGATGTAGTACAAACAACTCAAGCTCAACACGTGCATACTAAACTCCATTTCCTTTCCCCAAACTTCGACATTTACAGCCATCTCCTTTCAGCTAATAGCAAGTTTATCCTTTCAGCCACTCAAACCAGAATCTTTAGAGCCATCCTTGACTCTTTTCCTCCTCTCACACTCAATATCTATCCATCAGAAAATTTTGTTAGTTCCACTTTCAAACTGCATCCAGAGTCAGAGCAAGTCTCATTACCTCCACAGCTACCACACTAGTCTGAACAAACATCATTTCTCACTTGGGTTATTGATAGCATCCATACGGGTCTTCCTGTTTCTTTGTTCCCCTACATTAGCAACACAGCAGTCAGAAGAATCCTTTTAGAACTAAATCAGATCATGTCACTCCTCTACTTAAAATCCTTCAATGGGTCCCATTACACATAGAGTAGAAACCAGAGGCCTTACATTGGTCTACAAGGTCCTACATTATTTGACTCCTGTTATCCCTTTGACACCATATTCTAATATTACTGCTGTTGTCCTTTTGCTCCAGTCACACTGTTTGATTAGTAAATACTTATTAAACAAAGCAATCCTAGTCTCCAAGGAGATCATAGTTTATTGGAGGAAACAAGAGCCTATAAATGGTTACACACAGAGGGTAGTGATTATCGTTCTCCCTCACCTCCCATCCTAAACTTTGACAAGTGAAACTCCCCTGGATGTTGAAGGTTGAGGAATTTGCCAGGGTTCAGGGTGGTGTTGGAGGAGGCAGGGAGGAGGCAAGGACATTTCAGGCAGGAAGAACATTACATGCAAAGATCTAAATATATGAATCAGCAACATATTTATGGAATTACAAGTAAAGTACAAAGTTCTTGCTAAAACATCAAAAAATAAAGATTTGTGATTAGGGGGCCAGAATGTGGGAGGGAAAGAGAGATACAGTTCACACTTTAGACAGGAGCCAGATCATGAAATGCTTTCTCTTTGTTTCTTCCTTCACAGCTTTTGATATGCTCTTGGAGCAATTTATCAACCACATTTTTAACGCATCTCCTGAACAGGGTCAAAGCAATACTTGGAAAGGACTCTGAATTTCCTGATTTAAAGATACAAAAGAAAAATCTGGAGTCACATTTAATTTGAGAAGGTAAAGGAGTGGGTGTGCTACTGTATCAAATTTAATTTGTACAAAATCATCTCTGGTAACATTATTTTTTCTAATCTACTGCGTTTAGACTACTTTAGTAAAGCTTGATCTCCCTGTCTATCTAAACACTGATTCACTTACAGCAAGCTTCAGGCTAGCATTGGTCATATTAATACCCAACAAATCCACAAGGTGTTAGTTGCACATGATTTTGTATAAAAGGTGAACTGAGATTTCATTCAGTCTACAGCTCTTCCCCAGCAAGGCGGCCAACCACAGGTGAGTCTTGGCATCTACAGTTTTCAAGTGGTGACAGCTACTTTTGAAATTACAGATTTGTCAGGACATGGAGGACAAAACTAGAGCTTTTCACTAGTGTTGTGTAGGAAATTTATGCTTATCAACCTGGCTTGTAAAATATGGTTAATATAATGTAATCACTGTTAGCAAGTAACTGACTTTATAGACCAGTTCTGAAATGGTCTCTTCTGAAATAGTCTTATTTTAAACAAATGTGGGCAACAGCAAATATTTATGAGATTCTAAAAATGAAGACATAATTTTGTAGTATAGAATTTTCTTGGCCAGGAATGGTGGCTCATGCCTATAATCCCAGCACTTTGGGAGACCAAGGTCAGAGGATTGCTTGAGCCTGGAAGGTCGAAGCTGCAGTGATTCATGATTATACCACTGCACTTCAGCCTGGGCAACAGAGCAAGACCCTGTTTCAAGAAAAGAAAAGAATTTTATTTTTCTTTTCAGACAAAAATAGTCTTTAAAATAATAATGGAAGAACAAATATGATGATCACAATTACCTGCTTCAGAGTAATCACTTTATGACAGTTAGCAATAAGATTCTAATCTTTAAATATTCCTCTGCTTAAATCATTATATTGGAGTCTTGATCTATAATATATTCCTACCCTGACTCAAAAATTGAAGGACAAGGAAAAATTTGTTCCAAGAAACAAAGACATAAGTAAAAATGCATAAGGAAGGAAAAAAAACTCGTTGAAGCAAAATGTGATTGAGGAGGATGAGCAGACCAATTATTTTTGGTTTGGTCAGCTTACATAATGATTATCATTCTTTGGTTTCTTAGTTTCTAGTGGGCTTCGTTGTTTGCTTCCCAGACGAGGATGAAGACAGTCCAGTTTTGCTTCCTTTTCTGTTGCTGGAAAGCAATCTGCTGCAACAGCTGTGAGCTGACCAACATCACCATTGCAATAGAGAAAGAGGAATGTCGTTTCTGCATAAGCATCAACACCACTTGGTGTGCTGGCTACTGCTACACCAGGGTAGGTACCATGCTTTGCTGGAAGTGAGGTCGTTGAAGGTCTGTATGAGACAGGTTTCATTAGTTTCCACTTCATCAATATTTTATGTATTCTAAGTAACAGTCATGAGTCCTTTAGCCAAGACTGTCTGTGTTGTGATTGGGGTTAATGACCATGGTATCAGTTAGCTATTTGGGCTTGGATTTGATTTGGGCAAATTTAGGAAAGCCTCAGATTTAATCTGATCAATTTGGTAATAGTCCAACTTGGCATTTACAGGAAAAACAGTAGTTCTATGTTATGTTTTTACATATAGAGAGGTAAACATGGAAACATACACATATTTAATCATAAAGGACCTACAATATTCTCATAAAGGCAATTTCTTTAACTGATGCTACATCTTTGACACAAAAATAGTACCAAAATATGTCTCCAAGTCACATAAAAACACAGACAGCCACTTATAAAAATTGTCTTCCTGGCCCTCCTAAATACAAATGCCAACAAACGGACTGTGAACACAATCAATTCTTGCAGACTGTTAAAACAAAAATGAATCAGCAAACCCACTCCCTTCGTTATAGCATTGAGAAAACCAAGACATAGAGGCATCAGCTGCTAGTCTGAGTTTGCACAGTTTCCTTGCATTAATGCAAGTAAAGAAATAGTTTCCATGGTGCTTTCTTTTTTCCCTGCAGCACCCCTAATTATTTATGCAGAATTTCATTCTATAAACTAAAATTGAAAATGGCAACTTTTTAAATGAATGATACTTTATTTGATGGTAAATGAGTTTGATCAAACTCTATTTATTACACAATTTATTGCACCTTCTTGGGATATACATTTGGTAGGATGATATTAAACAGCAGCCCCAATTTCTTTACATAGTATAAATAATTCTTTCCACTGGAAAGAGCTACTACAAATAATTTCTACTTGGATTAAAAATTCTTATATGCAAACTGCATATCCTTTGAAACTAAGAACCCTGCAAAGTATACAGCTTTTAAGGGAGAAAAAATGTCCACAACAAATTGGAATATTTAAAATCTTATGTGAGCCTTAGCAAACATGTTAAATTAAGCACGAACATTTAAAATTATATATTTTTGACCTTTTATAAATACATCAGGACAGCATGTTTTAAAATATTTTTTTCTGAGACACTGGATGTCTTTGTTTATGGTTTGTCATTAACATAGCTTTCAATTAAATATGAAAAGTCAACTTAAAATTCTGTCGCGTTTTTCATCATTTTTCTATGTTAAAATTCAAAGTTCCTTTACAGTTTGAAAAATAATTAATATTTTGATATCACCATAGGAAGTAAGAAGAGGAATTACTTGTATTTTCTGTAAGATTTCGAGAACAATTTAGAAATATAGATACCATATAGGTCATTTATGAGGTCATGTTTTAATGGGTAAATGTTAGAGCAAGCAGTATTCAATTTCTGTCTCATTTTGACTAAGCTAAATAGGAACTTCCACAATACTGTAACCTCTCTTCTTAAACTCCTCAGGATCTGGTGTATAAGGACCCAGCCAGGCCCAACATCCAGAAAACATGTACCTTCAAGGAAGTGGTATATGAGACAGTGAGAGTGCCCGGCTGTGCTCACCACGCAGACTCCTTGTATACATACCCAGTGGCCACCCAGTGTCACTGTGGCAAGTGTGACAGCGACAGCACTGACTGTACCATGCGAGGCCTGGGGCCCAGCTACTGCTCCTTCAGTGAAATGAAAGAATAAAGAACAGTGGACATTTCTGGCCACATATCCTTGTCCTGAGGGACCAAGATATTCAAAAAGTCTATGTGTGTGCAATGTGCCCAGGGTATAAACCACTGGACTGGGGAATTGTCAGACTCTACTGATCCCTGGTCTAGTGGCAGAGGGAACTCTGGGAATTTAGAGTGCTGGGGGCCAGGACTCCATCACCATTCACCTCTATATTCCTAGGTCTGATTTCATAAGGTTTAGTCAGTCTTACCTCAAAGACTTGTGCATAGTATCTTCTTTAAAAATCTTAGAAACCTTCTCAGGCCATGCCTTTCTCTTAGGAGGAAATGTAAGCCTAGAAGGAGGAAGCGGTAATGGGAGTGGGTGAAAGAACTAACTGCTGCAGTCTTCTGGTAGACTGGGCCCTCTAGAGCAAGGTCAGCATCTTCAGCATCGTAGCCTCAATGCCTAGCACTCTGCCTGGAACTTTTTTTTTTTTTTTTTTTTTGAGACGGAGTCTCGCTCTGTCGTCCAGGCTGGAGCGCAGTGGCCGGATCTCAGCTCACAGCAAGCTCCGCCTCCCGGGTTCACGCCATTCTCCTGCCTCAGCCTCCCAAGTAGCTGGGACTACAGGCGCCCGCCACCTCGCCCGGCTATTTTTTTGTATTTTTTAGTAGAGATGGGGTTTCACCGTGTTAGCCAGGATGGTCTCAATCTGCTGACCTCGTGATCCGCCCGTCTCGGCCTCCCAAAGTGCTGGGATTACAGGCTTGAGCCACCGTGCCCGGCCTCTGCCTGGAACTTAGTGAGAAACACAAAATGGCTTCTTTAGATCAGAAAGGTCAAGGGTAGGAAAATGCTGGAAGAGCATGTTTGAGGTAAGGTGATGAGGCTGCCCCCAGCCACACCAGTCCCATGAAAATAGTGGCATCAGTTCCACGTCGCCTCTCCTCCAGCACATGGAGTATTGAGACATGATGTATCTCTCTGAATTGTTCGGTACAGATGGGGAGTAACAGAGCTCAGGATTTCCAAGCTCTTACTACCAAGCCTGTTAGTTAAGGGCAAAGGAAATAAATTTTAATCTGGGGCTGTGGAAATTAGCCTGCCTCTATTCATTACTTAAACAAATTGATCACATGCTACTAGGCTCCTGCAAAACTCCTTTTTGAGATAAAGGAAGAAAACCAAACTATCTCACCCTGCCCTCCCTAGGATCCACTTCTTTGGAATGACAAAGGATTTGAAAGTAGGTTTGAAAGCAGTTTCGGCAATTTAATAAATATATTTAACTTGTCTACAAATATATTTGTATAAACAAATAGCTCCTTTAGAAAGAATTAGCCTTGGGGGATGGGGGAAACTGCTGTTTTCTAAAATCCTGTCTACATTAATCTTCTATTTTATCTGTCCATGTTCTCCCAAATCTGTGCTTTCTTTCAACAGGTTATATATTAAAACTATTTCATGAGTTGATTTCTTTTAAACATGTTAACTGTCTTAGTTATGCACTTGGTTTCACACTCATAGTGTTTAATTTATTTAAATCTTATTTTTTTAATAAAGATGCTAGCCACCAGGGTCACAGGTTTGGATTGTTTCATGTACAAACAGATGACTTAGATATCATGTATTTTATAATATTACTGGAATGAAATATTAAAATATAATTCCCAGTGTTTCTACAAATATTACCTTTCCTTATCTTTGGAGATATTAAAAATAATTTTGTTGGATTTCTGAAGTGTTTTGTCACTTACATTTCCTGTCATTTTTTGAAGACTTTTTCTGATGTCATGGGGGAGAAGAAAAGCATAGAGAGAATCACAGAGTGGGTGGGGACACTAGAGTTTCTCTAGTTTACTTCTTGAATTTCTGAGATAGGAAAATTAAAGCCCAGTGATACTAAGTGACCCACCCAAGATCATCACTGTCTTAGTCCTTTTGGGCTGCTATGACAGAGTACCTTAGACTGGGTAATTAACAACAGAAATTTATTGTTCACAGTCTCTAGGCTGGGAAGTCCAAGATCAAGGTGCCAGCAGATTTGTTGGCTGGTGAGGGAGGGCCTGCTCCCTACTTCAACACTGGTGCCTTTTTGCTGCATCCTCATGTGTTGGAAACAGCAGAAAACTCCCTCAAGCCTCTTTTATAAGAGCACTAATCTCATATATAAGAGCTCCATTTTCATGATCTAATCACCTCCTAATGCCCCATTTCTTAATACCACCACAATAAGGATCAGGGTTCCACATGAATCTTGGAGGAACATAAACATTCAGACCACAGCAATCGCAAAAACTGTTCGCGGCAGAGCCAGGATTAGAATCCTAGCCTCCTTGCTCTTAACCCAGCTCTCCTTTGACTACTCCACCATAAGAAGAAGTCATTTTGGTAAGGATTGAAGCAAAACCACAGATATTATTGTAATAATCATCTCTGTCCATTCTAATCTGGTATTGGGTGTGGCTTATAGCAATGCACTGAAATTAGGGCTATATTAACAATGCTGAATAAGATGCTTTAAATTATAGCCTTTTCCTTCTTCCTGTAGTTTTGCAGACCAAAATAATAAACAGTCACATTAGAGAGAGTAGAGGGCAATGGCTTCAGATTTATGTTGTCTCAATCATCTTAAACAGATGTGTCATTTCAAACAAGTTACTTAAATTCTCTGGACTTCAGTTTCCTCAACTGTAAAATGGGGATAATAATATTTCCTGCTTTAGAGGTTTGTGTTCATGATTAATGAAATAATAGATATAAGGGGCTTAGAACAGTACTTGGCACATAGTAATTCCTCAATAAATATTAGTTGATGGTTATCCCTTAAGAGAGACAATGCAGTGAAATAGTCAAGTCAGATTTAAATTAAGGACCACCCAGCTCATACTCTTTCTGGTCTGAGCAAACTAGTTAACCTCTTTGGGTCTCACTTTTCTCACTTTTAAAATAGAGTAAAAATGGTAACTATCTCACCTAGTTGCTGTGCAGATTTAAAAAAATAATGCAGGTAAAGCACTTAGAAGGCCAACAGAGCTATAATCCTGCTGGAGAGAGGTCCCTTTACCACTTAGTTCAAAAGGCCAAGGTCAAAATGCTAGTAAAAAAGCAGAAATTTCTTCTTATGGCACTCCCATGCCAAATAGGAGTACACTCCTTTCTAAAGCAGCAAGAACGAAAACCTGTGAACCCTCCAGGTCAAGGCCAAGAAAAGGTCCATCTCCATGGGCTGCCATTTTAGTTGAAGTCCGATAATCCCTTCTCAGAACTAAGGTGGACATCTCCTGGATCTGGGCCGTCCTCACATGACTTTAAGAATTGTATGTCTAGGCTGGGTATGGTGGCTTATGCCTATATTCCCAGCACTTTGGGAGGCCGAGGCGGGCAGATCACCAGGTCAGGAGTTCAAGACCAGCCTGACCAACATGGTGAAACTCAGTCTCTACTAAAAATACAAAAATTAGCTGGACGTGGTGGCACATGTCTGTAATCCCAGCTACTCAGGAAGTTGAGGCAGGAGAATCACTTGAACACGGGAGGCAGAGGTTGCAGTGAGCCGAGATCATGCCATTGTACTCCAGCCTGGAAGACAGAGTGAGACTCTATCTCAAAAAAAAAAAAAAAAATTGTATGTTTAAACCACAACTTTGACCATGCCAATTAATTAATGAGATTTCCAATTGTTTTCAGAAAAAAAAAAAAAAATCTTAATTCTTAGCTGAAACATGAGGACTATCATGGTCTGACCTCTGATTATTTAACTTCTTACCTCTTCCTCTCCCCACAAGGGTTGCTGAAACTAGAGATTAGTTTTGAGAATTGAAGGACTGGGGGCCTTCCATTGCTGAAATGCTTTAACCAAAATACCACGCCATTCATCCCATGAGAGATTTGGTAGACTGTAATTGAAAACTGGTCAGTAAGTCAGTAGCACTTGAATCATAAAAATGTGAGGCTAGTACATAAGAATAATAAACACTGAGTTCATGGTAGTGAGGAAGGTGAAAGAGAAATGGAACTGTGGAAAAGTACCCAGAGAACCTCAAATTGTATTTATGCTTTATTTCTTACAAATATGGTATAATGTTAATATATATAAAACTGGGAGAATGCTGTACAGGTGTTTACTATATTCCTATAGGCATGTTCAGTGTTTACTAATTGACAACCAACAAGGCATCTTTTTATGCATTGTACATTTAATCTAGACTTTATGCCTAATATACAAAAAGTGAAATGGGCCCTGAGCCTAGTCTAACGTCACACAGCTAGTGTGCAAAGCCTCGATCATTAGTATGCATTTAGTGACAGAGGTAGAGAATTCAAATCTGCTTACCAAGATATGTGCCTATGTCTTCCTGGCTATAAAGCTGGACAACATTTTCCCACTTTCTTTGCAATCAAGTGTATCTATGTTCCAGCTAATGGAATGTGAGCAGAAGTACTGCACATATTTTCACACATGGTCCATAAAATCCTTTCATAAGTGCTCATCTATTCTCTTCCTCTATTTGCTGGATGTCAATACTAAAGGTGACTGTGAAAGCTTTGTGTTGATGAAAACAGAACCATTGTCAACCTGGATCCCTGAATGTCTGCACGGAGCAGTGTGCCCAACATCAACAACCCCTTATAGCAGGCTGTAGGGATACTATGCATCAACACAGTAAACTTCTAAGTCACTGACATCTGTGAGTTTATTCGTTTTAAAAAATGCATTATTTTAACTTAAATATATTGATCCTGGAAGTGGAGTGTTGCATTAATGAAAACCTTAGCACATATGGCGTTGGCTTGGTGGTTGTACAATGGGGGAAAAGAAAGTAGTCACCATAGTGGCAACCAAAATGAGTGATTGAGAGGCACGTCTCAGTCATCAAGGTTTATTGTGCCAGTTTGAGGATGCGTCCAGGAAAAACTCAAGTAACAGACACATCTGTGGCTGTTTTTTCCAAAGGGGTCCTCAGAGATTTAATATTTATACATTTTCCTTTACAAAGGTAGAGGGGTTGGTGTGGCAATGCGGCAGATGATTACATACTTGTAAGATTTTAGTTAGTACTCAATAAATCTACATTTTATGTAAGATAAGGTGAACAAAGAAAATAGGAAT